AGAGAAGACTTTTCCGCGCTCACTTGGAGGAAAAGGACTTTGAGCACACTGACTTGCTACTTCACACCGATGTAAGGTGGCTCAGTAGAGGGACATTTTTGGCCCGGTTTCAGGAGCTGTTGTCGGAAATCAAAGATTTTCTGAAGGTTTCAAAATATGTGGATTATCATGCAATGCTGGAGGACAAACAATGGCTTTTAGATTTATCATTCCTCACTGACATCACCAGCGAACTCAATGTGTTAAATTTGGAGCTGCAGGGTAAGGATGAAGATGTACTAAACATGATGGGATCAGTGAACACGTTTAAAAGCAAGCTACAGTTGATGTTCAGACGGCTGCAACACGGTGACCTGCGCAACTTTGTTTACGTGCAAGCAGAATTACAACGTCAAGGTAAAGACGTTTCACAGCTGGACAGTGCGTCCATCGAACCTGTTGCCAGCTATATGTGCTATCCATTTGGTGAAAGTATTGATGTTGGTGATATTGCAGAAAAAGTGCAATCACTTTTCCACTTGGAAAAGTCCGCTCTTGGATGAGATTCTAATGTTGCAAAATTACATTGAGTTGAAAGCCCGTTCTGCTCAACCTGGACACCATGTGCAATTATGGAAACTTCTTGTGGAGGAGAAGTATCACAATGTCAGAAGATGTGCCTTGAATCTGACTTCCCTATTTGGATCAACTTATTTGTGCGAGTCTGCCTTCTCTCATATGAAAATCATCAAGACCAAGTACATATCAACAATGACCGATGACCATCTTGCAACCTGCCTACGCCTTGCAACAACCTCCTACACTCCGGACTATAAGAAACTAGCCTCCTCCCAGTGTCAAGTCTCTCACTAAGGTAGGAAGAGATCTTCCTTTTGTGAGTTTTATTTTTTTGTACTCCTGTCCACCAGAGCAGGGGCTTTAAAGTCAGGACACACACTCACGGCGAGGCATCATTCCAGCACTACGGCCCCCGTCTCTGGAACAGTCTGCCGGAGGAGCTCAGGGCCGCAGAGAACGTTCATATTTTTAAAAGTAGGCTCAAGACGCACCTTTTTAGAGTAGCTTTTGATTAGTTTTTATTATTCCATTCTATTTATCTTTTATTATTTATTATATTGCTATTGCTATTATTCATGTATTGTGTGTTCCTTTTAGTCTCACATTTTAGTGTTTTACTTATTGTATTGTTTTTAGTGTACCCAGTGTTTCCTCTGGAGGAGCCCTCTGCACCGGGAGCAGTGGTCGGTGTGGCTGCGGGGGTCGGACTCTTGGGCCTGGTGGGGGCCTGGGGCCTCGGTTTCATGTCTCCTCTGGGTCCTGTGTCGTCCCCTGTGGCTACGGGCGGCTCTCTGCTCCTGGTGCAGACGGCTCCTTGGATGACGCTTTTTCAGCTGGTTGCATCTGAACCCTGCCAAGTCTCTCATCATGTTTTTATTGTTTTACTGGTGTGTGTGTGTGTGTGTGTGTGTGTGTGTGTGTGTATGAGTGTTCATGAGCGCGTGTGTGTGTGTTTGTCTGTGGTTTGGGGTGGGTCTGTTGGGTGGTCTGGGGGAGGGGTCTTGGGTCGGCGGGATTGTTTTTAACCAAACTGTAAAGCACTTTGTGTTGCATCTTATGTATGAAAAGCGCTTTATAAATAAAATTTGATTGATTGATTGATTGATTATGTTTGAATATTCAGTTGTGCACTGCTTTTGGATGTCTGATTCAGAACAGTGTTTCTATTACCTGGTTTTGAACTGGTTCATTTTTCTGCTTGGTTCATATGGTCAGTTTGTTAGCTATTCCTCAAAATGCAGATTGTGTGTTTGTTTTTGTGTAAGATTGTGAGGAGCAAAGAGTTCAAAATAAATACATAATTGTAGTAATCTGATGTCTAATGGTTGTGTTGTTTGTAACGGCTGTAACTGTGGGGTTTTGATGTTGACGCTGGACTGGTAGACCTTTGGAGGTTTGCTAATTAAAAAGTAGACCTTGAGTCAAAAAAGGTTGGGCACCCCTGTCCTATGTCATCGCCGCCGTTTTTTTAACATAATTCATCTGAATATGTCAAAATGAACACCCGAAATATTATAAACACATATTGTAGTTATATATTCTGGGTAGCAGCATATTAAATTCTAGTACTACTTTAAACATCTCAAGGAGCTGTGCAAGCAATTGTATTAAAATGGAAGGAGTATCAGACCAGCGGGGCGACAGTAGCTCAGTTGGTAGAGCACTGGTCTTTGGACCTAATGGTCGTGGGTTCGATCCCACCACGACCCGTGTCAACTGCTCCCACTGATGTCTGCTGTTGTTGTGTCCCTGGGCAAGACACTTAACCCCAATGTGCCTGAAGTCCCCGCTGAAAGACCAAGGCCGCATCTGTGTCGAAGGAGCAGCCATCTTCCCGTGGACCCACCACCTGCAGGAAGATCAGCAAGGGACTGGTGCTATGTGAATTGGGTGGCAGTTCTGATTGCCAACCCCCCTGACCCAGAAATGGAAAATAAAGGGATGTAAATGAAATGAAATGAAAAAATGAGTATCAGACCACTGCAAATCTACAAAGACCCGGCCGTCCCTCCAAACTTTCATCTCAAACAAGGGGAAGACTGATCAGAGATGCAGCCAAGAGGCCCATGATCACTCTGGATGAACTACAGCTGAGGTGGGAGAGTCTGTCCATAGGACAACAATCAGTCGTGCACTGCACAAATCTGGCCTTTATGGAAGACTGGCAAGAAGAAAGCCATTTCTCAAAGATATCCATAAAAAGTCTCGTTTAAAGTTTGCCACAAGCCACCTGGGAGACACACCAAACATGTGGAAGAAGGTGCTCTGGTCAGATTAAACCAAAATCAAACTTTTTGGCCACAATGCAAAACGATATGTTTGGCGTAAAAGCAACAGAGCTCATCACCCTGAACACACCATCCCCACTGTCAAACATGGTGGTGGCAGCATCATGCTTTGGGCCTGCTTTTCTTCAGCAGGGACAGGGAAGATGGCTAAAATTGATGGGAAGATGGATGGAGCCAAATACAGGACCATTCTGGAAGAAAACCTGTTGGAGTCTGCAAAAGACCTGAGACTGGGACGGAGATTTATCTTCCAACAGGACAATGATCCAAAACATAAAGCCAGATCTACAATGGAATGGTTCACAAATAGACTTATCCAGGTGTTAGAATGGCCAAGTCAAAGTCCAGACCTGAATCCAATCGAGAATCTGTGGAAAGAACTGAAGACTGCTGTTCACAAACGCTCTCCATCCAACCTCACTGAGCTCGAGCTGTTTTGCAAGGAAGAATGGGAAAGAATTCCAGTCTCTCGATGTGCAAAATTGATACAGACATACCCCAAGCGACTTTGGGCAGCAAAAGGTGGCGCTACAAAGTATTAGCGCAAGGGGGCTACGCCCCACTTTTCAGTTTTTTATTTGTTAAAAAAGTTTAAATTATCCAATAAATTTCGTTCCACTTCACGATTGTGTCCCACTGGTTGTTGATTCTTGACAAAAAAATTATTTTTATATTTTTATGTTTGAAGCCTGAAATGTGGTGAAATGTTGAAAGGTTCAAGGGGGCTGAATACTTTATAGATCAATGGGCTACGCCCATTTGGAGGGAGATTTGAAAAGAAAATGTGAGTGACGTAAGCCTCCAGGAGGAGGGGTGAGAAGTCCTTTAAGGTGGAGCAGGACAGGTTATTGCAGTAGAGATGGTCTAGCCTTCGGGTGGAGCAGGAGGGGTCACAGCAGCAGAGGTAGAGCCGCTTGGTTCGGACCATTTTCTCTGCTGTAGTTCAACGTAAAATGCTAAATTTTCCATATCTATATGTACCGTAGTTGTTGTTATTTGTATGAAATTACCTTTTTATTTTTGAGATGTGAGTTGGCCCTGGGTTTGTTCATACTAAAGATTACAAAAGTGTGACAAAAGGCCAAAAATGTTATATTGATAATCAGAAAATACATCATGGTTTTCATTTAGCCAAATACCTCTTCTGTCCATTGTCACAGGCTTCTCATTTCCCCTACGCTCTCATCCCACGCAGCCATTGAGTTTTATTTGCGGCCTTATGCGTATGCTAACGTTAGCACTAGCGCAACTTTTTGTAAGCTGTACAACAATCACTGATGAAATGGTACAAAAGCAACGCACTGCTAAGAAAAATATAAAACTGAAAGATTACCGCTAGTTTTGCGTCCAAATGTCTGAGCATAGATAGTCCGAGGCGGCCCCGCACCCGCAGGTGTCTCCAGAGGATAACGGTAAGGTAATGCCAGCGGTTAAGTATGTCCACCGGGCTTGATTTCTTATTTGATCATTTTTTCGCTTTAGTTTGCTCTTCTCTTCCTCACTGTTGAGTCGTTTGGGCTGTTTTGCTGTGTATGGAGTTACAGACAGAGGAAGTATACACTTTTTGATAATATGCTGCTGTGTTTACCACCAGCGCTGTAGAGGCCAGAGGACGCAGGCTATTCGCTCCTCGTTCTGTGAGTGGAAGAGAACGAGCGTCCCGCTAAGTCTCTACTCCGCACTTTTTAAGGCCTTAATTCAAACACAAGCTGAATCAATGAGATCAAGTTTTTAATTAAATTACGGATTTTAATACAACTTGTATGTAGTAAAATGCATTTGTGTGAACTCATTAGAAAATAAATCGGGTATAGCTTCTTTAATTAGTCTGGGGAATTATTTTAAAGCAAATGTCTGCAAGTGGTGTGCAAGGTTTTTGTTATCAAAGATTTGGTGTTTGTCGAGTAGCCAGTATAGTCGTAACCAATACCGGTTGGAGAAAGTTTGCACTGTCCACTCTCCTTATGCAGTCTATGCTTTACAGCCAAACATACATACTTATTTACATTTTCAAAAATACATGTTGGTTTCCACTGACGTATGGTTCTGCATACCAGCCCAGTGTCAGTGCCATTGAAACTGCAACTGAAATGCTTCTATTGCACTTTTTTAGTAAAGAAATGTAAAAAAAAAAAAAAGAATAAAACAGCTTACCATCCGTCTTGAGTGTCAGTGGAGTTGGCGGGCTTAAGACCCTTGCATTTGTCACTGGGTTTTTGACTAAACAGATGTAGCTGCCCACATCAGACGGCTGGACCTTGGAGATGTACAGATTCCCTGTGTCCTGGGAAATGAAGCGGCGACTGTCTTCCGCCACAAACGAAGGAAACTCATTAAAAACCCAGCTGTAGATGATCTCTGAAAGGCAGACAGAACAAACAGTAGTGTCACCAACTTTTCTACTTCATTACTACACAAAGATGGATTCTGAGTCTGATTTTCAACAACCAACAGAGATGCACAAGCCAGAGCAATGGATTAAGATTAGTGATTGACGTTCATACTATAAGAACAGTTTCTAAAAATGTCTGTCAAATTTAAGCAATACGTATGTTTTTACTCTCCTTTCAATTGAGAATAGAGTAAAAGAAAAAAAAAGGGAGGTTTCTCAGTTTTCCCACTGGGTTTTAGAGTTTTTCCTTGCCGATACAGGAGGGTCTGTTAGAGTCTTAGAGGCTTGAGAGGGTCCAACTAAAAGTAAATCAGTAAGTAAACTTTCTTTATACTGTATAGCGCCTTTCCCAGACCAGAGTCACAAAGCGCTTTACAATTGTCCTTTTTTAGGTATCTACCGCAGGGCCTTTATCCCCACCGCTGTCAGACTGTACAACAAGTCACTTTAAGTCACTGCATTATGACTGAAAAAACCTGCACTACTATTGACACTTCTTTCTTCTTGCCACTTTCTAATTGCCACTTTTTGTACATAATATGTCCTGCATCAACATGTTTGCACATTTCTTACTTTTAGCACAATCTTGAGTGTTTCTATCCATGCGAAATGTGACATGTAAATTTCTCCTGTGTGAGATTAATAAAGTATATCTTATCTTATCTTGTCTCTGACAGTGGTGATGATCCAGGACACTCCACACTCAACAACATTTAGAAACTTTCATCAACACTAATGGACGTTGGTCATCTGCCCCTTATGGACGAAAACCAATGTGTTTTATGTTTTATTTATTAGGTTTGAACTGTTTGATTCTTTGATCTGTGTTTTGGCGAATGGTTGTGTAAAGTCCTCCGCGATAACTACTGTTGTGATATAAGGTCACACAATAGAATTGAATTGAAAAAAAAGAAACATTTTAAATTAAAAGCAGACCAATATAATTCATATCATTAACTTCTTACAGTAATGCTTGTCATAACGTTGTAGTAGTAGTAGTAGTAGTACTAGCATTTTTATTTGAGCAGTTTGACATACACAATAACATGCACAAATAATTCAAGAAAGACAAAAAAAAAAAGCTCAAAAGGAGAAGGCTTCATTCCAAATTAAATACATTCAAACCAAACTGGTCCATTTTCCTATAAGAGGTTCCCTTGAACAGCATTTGTGCAGTCTTATGAGTTTCAGATGCAACACCGAGTCACCAACGCATTTATCATCGCTGCCAACTTTATGACTGTGATCTTTAAAGTGATTGGAGCAGGTGCTGTGGATCATTTGTCACAAAGAAGTTGAATTATATCTGAGTCAGTATATACCTAAGAAACATACTTGAGAATAGTGTACGGTACACGGCAGAGAAAACATGTCTGAGCAATTTATCCCCCTTCTTCATCTTTTGAGAACGTGTCTTTCTGAAATAGTCATCATTAACATCTTTGACCAGCTCCAATTACTGTTTTTAATGCACCGTCCTGTTTGTGCTGTTTTCATAATAACAATCTGGTGCCAGTAATCATACAGTAATGTGAGAAAAAATATGTGTTGATGTTTTTAAATGATTTTACCTTTCATATTTCTGCCTTTGTATACTCAAATTGGTGTATACTCATGCTTCACAGAACGCTTTGGTTTTGATCCAGTTTTTTTTATGTTTCTCTCGCATGTTTTTTGTCTGAGTGAGTTTCCTCTGGGAGTTCCGGTTTGTCCCACCACCCAAAGCATGCACTAGTTGATAAAATCCCACGGCTGTTAGTCCTGACCAAGCTGAGCATCAACATCTGGAGATTGGTCCCTGGACGCTGTACTATAGTGACCACTGCCCCTGATAGAGGCCACAGTGGCATTGCACATTGCAGGATGGTTTAAACTAACTAACTATTTGTATATTTAGTAAGTAGAGGACTAAGAGGGTATTATGAATACGAACAACAGTAGATGGCTGTAGCCTCAGATCCCCAGACGCAAGCAATGCATCAGGAGCTTGCATCAGCTTACAGCTAGCAGCATGCAGCATGGATACAGAGGCCTGACTGCTGTCCCTGTGAATTCTATGAAGAAGAGAAAAGGGCAGTAAAGGCCAAAGGACTGCTATAAAGCAGCAAAAGTCAGATGTATGTGTTTGTCCTCATGGTGTCAGTGGGCTTGTTTGGTCACGAGAGACTTTACTAAAGAAAAAAAACTGTTCACTGTAAAACCTGCCAGCCCTCTTTCTAATGTTTAATAATAATAAGTGTTGTGGGCGTCTCGTGTCAAAGACCATCAGCACGGACGTGTTTTGACTTTAAGCCACACAACTGTGCAAGCCTCGCTCAGCAAAAATGCGTGGCTCGCATTTTTGGGCTGACGAGCATGGTGTGCATGCTCCAGGCTTCTACAACGGGTGCAACCTACGCAAGCCGCTGCACAAGTCTAACCGCTTCAAATGACGCATGCGGTGTGTAGAGGACGTTTTTTCTGTGTCTTTCTGGATATACAGTAAGTATGCAATATGACAGGCAACTCCATCATATTATTCTAAATATTTTGCATCATTAGAGAGCGCAGATCAGGAAGAAATCATGAATTGAAAATTCATAATTGAAAATACCTTGTATCTAGGTACTTATTGTAGTGTGGCCTATATATAAAGTATATCATATTCACTTATATTTATCTTCAAAAAAAATATACCATTGACATTTGTATGGATTTTTCACTTCTTTCTGTAGTCTCGAGCCAAATGCTATGTTATATATGAAAGCAACCGCTGCAGCCTACAAGTGAAGTTAAAAACATGACATCCCCTGGCACTATAGCCACCCTTGTCAAGCTTTTAATGAAGAGGAAAAAACTGCTCTGTGCTTTCATCTGTCAGTCACAGGCCATCATGAATCTTTTATTGCCTTTTTAATCACCTGTTCCTGCCACTGATTTTCCCTTTCCTATCATCTCACATGCTACGTCTGATAGACATCCACAAATGTTAATCTGGTGTTGAAGTGCACTTGGCAGGCTTTTTTACATCACAGCTCATACAAAAAACAAATGATTCATGGTTCAGAGAGGCGCTTATGGGACACTGTTGTGAGGGACGCTCATGGCTCGGCTGTGACAGTGTGCCGTCTCTGGTCTGCCTATATAAGGAATAATTGGCTGTGTAACATTTCCTTTCATTTGTAATGACCCAGCAAATTTAATCTGGGAGAAGCTACGATGCGCCTGGGCTGTCTCCATAACTTACAGTAGCCATCCAGATGCATGGATGGATGGTTGGATGGATAGAAGCAAAGGCGGGAATAAAAACAAACCCTTAAAAGACTGCCATAAATAGAAGGGGCAGTGATCATTTACATTTACTGTGTATTGTCATTCAGAGTTGTTAGTAGCGAGTCATAAACTAGCTCTCGATCTTTACAAAAAAGTGTGTGTGGTGAGCTCTTACCTGGTGAATGAGGAGGAGGGGTGCACATGAGAACAACACCCTGTCCTTCCCGCACAGACACTCCACCTCTCGTCTTTGTGCTGAACGGCTTTAGAACTAGAAAACAAAAACAATGAGAAAAGAAATGTTAATTCAGAAGTTTAGGACGGAACAATACAGGAGGAGGAAGTTTTTTGGACTGTAGCTTTGTGGAGAATCTGGAGATATGCAAACCAAATTCTGAGATGTGGGAATATCTACTTTTTCCACTGATGAAGATCTCCTCTGAACTTGTGTTGTGATTGTAGAGATATTTAAATGTATAATCTGCTTTGTGCGCTGACTTCTTGCATACGTTTTCAGTCTCATCGTGTTGGCCAGAAGCCCAAATGTGATTTATCGGTGCTAACAATCTGCCAGTGTAGAATGGGGATGGAGAGAGACTGATTGTCAACATGTTAAATATTGATTCAGCCGCAGCTGCCACCGCTCAGTCTTACTGTCAGCCCAGTGCTATTTCCCTTTTCGCTTGGTGCTAATCACTGATCAATGTCCCTTGGTCACATTTGGTATTCAGATGACCCTTGCATGATCGACATTGACTAATACAAGTCCTTGTGAAGAAAGCACAGAACTTTTTCTTCTTAGTGTCATCGGATGTTTTTTTTTTTCTGAAGGTGCTGAAGGACAACTAGAGTAATTGCCAACCTCCAGCACAACTGATGTCCTTCACTGTATTTGTATAAATGTATGTGAACTTCAATTATTCATCCAGCCCCTCTGCACATGCATAATAATAGATATGATAGATCACAATGTTTTACTTTGAATAAAACCTTCACATAAACCCATAAACTCTACATATGCAAAAAATGTTCCTGCTGCAAACAAAATAACGTTATGTTTTGGCTTATTTGTGTGGAATGGAGACTGGCCCTTTAAGATATTATGTCTGCATGTGTAAAACAGCAAAGGGAACCGAAGCGGCAAGTACAACATGACAACAAAGGCAAAAGTAGGCAGCAGAAGTGATGGACAACAGTGAGAATGTCCCTTTCATCAGGCTCTGTCTGCAGGCTCGGTCCATGACTCCCTGTAGCTGTGTGTACGGAGCTGGGAGTGTGTGGAGCTGTAAGTGTGTGGAGCTGTGAGTGTGTGGAGCTGTGAGTGTGTGGAGCTGTGAGTGTGTGGAGCATATTGTTGAATCTAGAATAACTGCGACACAGGACCATTGTGTTACATGGTTTTACTTGAACTGCATCAATGTAGAACCTTTCTCCTGATGTAGTCACATAGTCATGTATCAGTGCACATTAACACTATAACTCCCAGAATTCTGAAACTATCAGAATTCCCAGGGCAGTCATTTTGAGAGATTTCTTTAAAATAAATGGAATTCTGAAAGATCTAAATAAAAAACAAGTAATTTACAAAGTTTATATATCATATCTTACTGCAGCAAAAATAGTTGGCTTAAAGGCTACCAAATGTGAACTGCTGGCAAGTAAACAGTGTGTTGCTATGGTAACTGGCACTCGTTCTTCTCGGGTGGGACTCAGCTAATTCTATGAACCAGAACCAGTCCAGGACCAGCACCTTGAAGAAGAGGGCAATAACTGCTCTATTATATTGAGTTGAAATGAATGCGTTTAATATAGAACTACTCACATTTAAAAATTAAAATATAATTTAGTAAAAAAAAATGACAGGTATAATCTAAAGATAGATACATAAAAAGTCACAAAAGTTAGGAAGACCAAAAATGTACACAAGCTGAGAAATGACGCTTCCAAACCGAAAAGCCGTCTAAATGACTGCTCTTGGAGTTCTAATGTTAATTCATCTCCCCATCACTAGTGAATATAGTCTGAGAGCTAGTGTGGAATTAACTCAAATTACTCCTTGAAGTATGGAGCTGCTGTACCTGAGCCTGCACCAGCTTATGTCTGCAGAGGAAGGGTCTTTGGGGAGACAGATCAGAGGCCTGCTTTCTGCCTGCTGCCTTCAAAGTCACGGCTGAAAACAGCCCAAGTGTGAGTTCAGCCACTCAGAATTTCAAAACAAAGAGAAAAAAATATCCAGAAATATCTTTGAGGTGATCCGAGCAACGATTGAATTGAATATAGGTAACTTTGATTGCATGTTGGGAAAGATATATCCTGTTTTTTTTTTTATTACAGTCTGCTTTGCAAGTTAAGACTTTTTAGTTTGACGGTACCTTTGTTCCTAGATAATTACTGATCCAAACCTAAGTAGGGTGAATAGAGGTAATAGTGATCACGGAAATAAAGATTCTGTTGAAATAAAATAAAGCATTGTTGAGATTATATTTTTGCCATCTTGAACATGAGCAAATACATGGCCCACACAACACCATTTAATCTGTTTACAAAACTACAGTGCTTAAAGAACTGCAGATATGAGTGGCTTTGCTGAATGAATCTGTAAATGAGACCCACACACTTGAACAAAAATGACAAGATCACAAACACATTCTCACGCTGAAATCACACATAAGCAGGAGGAGCTCTGTCATGTCTTATCTCTCTACATTACGTCTCTATGTAAGAGTTGTCGGTGAGGAACAGCTAAATTCACTCTTGCTTTAGTCGCTAAACACCCTTTGGCTTCTTCTCACTCCCGGTGGATACATGCATTTCCCTTTTCTTTTCACACAGATGGAGCATGTCGATAGGTGTAGAGATTATCTAACCACCCTCTGTGCTGCTTCCCACTAATCTGTCATTAAAAACAGCATTCAATCCAATTCAGTAGCCTTCAAACTAGTATTATTTCAGTGGGCAGCGCTTCAAAAACCAGTGTATTTCATCTGCAAGTAAAAGAATCCAGCAGGTGAAAGTTATTATTTTTTCAAACATCAAAAGTTTCCCATTCACCCGCTTTATACTGACCAAATTGTGACTGTGAGAGCGGGAACCATGTTTGATTGGAAGTCCATAATAACAGGGCATTCTGAGACTATACCATTACTGACCATGTATTTACAATATTCTGAAAATGAGTGGTAGACTGGTCAGTAATCTTACATTATTCTGATTCTAAGATTTTCTATCAACATAATTATTATGAATCGTTTTTATACGTTTTTTTTTTTGCACGTTCAAAGACGCTTCACATTGCATTATTCATTCACTCCTTGCACGGTGGTGGTAAAAGCTAGTACTGTAGCCACAACTGCCCTGTGTGGGTAAGTGAGGCAACCCGTCTGTGCCATCAGCCCAACCAACCACTCATACACACGCACACACACACACCAGACTCATACTGATGATGTGGGTGCGGTGTCTTGCCTAAGGACACAACGGTCAGCACTTTACAGCCACAGCCGCCCCATTGTGGCAACTGAATTTCTCAGAGGTCTCCCATCACAGTACTTACCAGGCTCTACCCTGCTTGATTTTGGGGCTTCTGTATAGCCTTGTGACTAATAATTATACCATTTTATTTTGCGCTTTTTTAGACACTTAAAGATGCTTCACATGGCATTATTCATCCACTACCGTAGCCACAGCTAAACTGGGGCACACTGACAGAAGCGAGGCAACTATTACAGTATGTGCCCTCCACCCATCGACCATTCGCACACACACCAGACTCATTATAAGCAATGTGGGTGAGGTGTCTTGCCTAAGGACACAACGTCATTTTGGCATTTTATAGCCGCATCCTTTGTGTTCCCAGAGGTCTCCCATCACAGTAATAACCAGGCCCTGCTTAGCTTTCAGAGGTCTGACAGGATCTGGCTTTCAAATAGGTGCATAGAGATAGCCTGGCCTTAGCCATCCGTACACTCCGTTCAATCATCATTTCCCTGCATGTAACGTCTGCGTCTGGTCCCCATGTTAGCGATTACAATCGGTTGAATTTCGACCGACCATTCAGAGAGCGCGGAAGGCAGTTGTTGTAGCTGGTTAGTTGTGGGTGACGTCAATAGTTTGCGTCGAACGGGAAGGTTGTGGTTTTGCAATGGCAAAAAATGCGACAGTAAAGTAATCCGGTCTGGTTCTATCAAGAAATTGAAGCAGGAGCAAGAGGAATGTTTAGCAAATGTAATCGCTGGAAAAATCGTGGCGCTACTCCCCACGGGCTCCGTTAGCGAAAAAGGAGATGGGTAGGCTAAATGCTAAATGTTAACAACAGACTTGGCCGCACTACATACGTCACAGTAAACTCAGATCCAATCGTTTCAATCTGCAAAAGGAGTTAACCCCTCCCATCTGTAAACGGAGCTCAATGGAGCACGTCCAGACCTTAGTACAAAATGTCATTTGTACTATTGTGTGTTACGACCAGGCTAGCATAGAGATGGTATTTGCAAGATCTAATCACATGTATGTTTTTTTTAAAAGGGCAAAACATGAAACGACTTGAATATTTACACAGTTTTGTTGGTTAAGAAAGTGTGATCGTTACAATGTGTTGTTTGAAACTATTAGCATAAATGATCAATGAGTCTGATAGTGTCACTGGTACTGTTGAATATGTATGCAGTGCTACAAATAGGTAATCATAGTTAATTTGTTTGCCTGGATGTTCTGTAGACGACGCCATTAACCTGGCCCTCCACCACATCCTACAGCACCTGGACTCCCCGGGGACCTACAGTACGCCAGGGTCCTGTTCGTGGACTTCAGCTCTGCCTTCAACACAATCCTGCCATCCCTGCTCCAGGACAAGCTCTCCCAGCTCAACGTGCCCGATTCCACCTGCAGGTGGATCACTGACTTCCTGACGGACAGGAAGCAGCGAGTGCGTCTGGGGAAGAATGTCTCGGACTCTTGGATTATAAATACAGGAGCCCCACAGGGCTGTGTTCTTTCTCCCCTGCTCTTCTCCCTGTACACCAACCACTGCACCTCCAGCCACGACTCCGTGAAGCTGATCAAGTTCGCGGACGACACCACCCTCATTGGACTTATCTCCAACAACGATGAGTCCGCCTACAGGAGGGAGGTGGACCGGCTGGTGTCCTGGTGCAGTGGTAACAACCTGGAGCTGAACGCCCAGAAGTCAGTGGAGATGATTGTGGACTTCAGGAAGAGCACTGTCCCCCCACCCCCACCCTCCGTGATGGACTCCCCCATCACCTCTGTGGAGTCCTTCCGTTTCCTGGGCACCACCATCACCCAGGACCTCAAGTGGGAGCCGACCATCAGCTCCCTCATCAAGAAGGCCCAGCAGAGGATGTACTTCCTGCGGCAGCTCAGGAAAGCCAAGCTGCCTGCACAGATGTTGGTGCAGTTCTACACGGCCATCATTGAGTCCATCCTCACCTCCTCCGTCACCGTGTGGTTCGCTGGAGCCACAGTTAGGGACAAACAGAGACAACAGCGCATTGTGTGCTCTGCAGAGGAAGTGATCGGCCGCAGCCTTCCATCACTGCAGGACCTGTACGTCGCCCGAGCTCGAGGCCGGGCTGGTCGTATCACAGCCGACCCCTCTCACCCTGCACATGGACTATTCCAACCACTCCCCTCAGGCAGGAGGCTGCGGTCCATCAGGACTAGAACCTCCCGCCACAAGAACAGTTTCTTCCCCTCTGCTGTTGGACTCTTGAACACTTCTTAACCTGTCCCCCCGCCCTTTATAAAGTCACTTTACTGCCCATCATACGTCACTTTACTTCACTGTACTGCTGTTCACCTTACATTGTGTGCACCATGTGCACTTGTATATTGTAAATAGTAACTGTAACTCTATTTTAAATTTAAATTTATTCTTTAGAAGTGTTTTTTATTCTTATTTTTATTATCTCTTTTTGACTGTTGCACTGAGCCAAAGCAATTTCCTAGTCTGTGACCTCCTGTTACTTACGTGGCAATAAAAATGATTCTGATTCTGATTCTGATTCTCTCTGCACATAAGAGGAGTAACTGCTGGTATACTTCTAACATCCATCCATCCATCCATTTTCTTCCGCTTCATCCGTTGCCGGGTCGCGGGGGCAGCAGTCTAAGCAGAGACGCCCAGACTTCCCTATCCACACACACCTCCTCCAGCTCGTCGGACTCCAAGGCGTTCCCAGGCCAGCTGAGAGACATAGTCCCTCCAGCGCGTCCTGGGTCTTCCCCGGGGCCTCCTCCCGGTGGGACGTGCCCAGAACACCTCCCCAGGGAGGCGTCCAGGAGGCATCCCGAACAGATGCCCGAGCCACCTCAACTGGTTCCTCTCGACGTGGAGTAGCAGCGGCTCTACTCCGAGCTCCTCCCGTGTGACTGAGCTCCTCACCCTATCTCTAAGGGAGCGCCCAGCCACTCTGCGGAGGAAGCTCATTTCAACCGCTTGTATCCGCGATCTTGTTCTTTCGGTCATTACCCAAAGCTCATGACCATAGGTGAGGGAGGGAACGAAGATTGACCGGTAAATTGAGAGCTTTGCCTTTCGGCTCAGCTCCCTCTTCACCACAACGGTCCGATACAGCGACCGCATCACTGCGCACGCTGCACCGATCCGCCTGTCAATCTCACGCTCCATCCTTCCCTCACTCGTGAACAAGACCCCGAGATACTTGAACTCCTCCACTTGAGGAAGGGCCTCTCCACCCACCTGAAGAGGGCAGGGCACCTTTTTCCGGTCGAGCACCATGGCCTCAGATTTGGAGGTGCTGATTCTCATCCCAGCCGCTTCACACTCGGCTGCAAACCGTCCCAGTGCATGTTGTAGGTCCTGGTTCGTTGGAGCCAACAGGACAACATCGTCTGCAAACAGCAGAGATGAAATCCTGTGGTCCCCGAACCGGACCCCCTCCGACCCTTGGCTGCGCCTAGAAATTCTGTCCATGAATACAGTGAACAGAACCGGTGACAAAGGGCAGCCCTGGCGGAGGCCAACGTGCACAGGGAACAGGTCTGACTTACTGCCGGCAATGCGCACGCAGCTCTGGCTCCGGTCATACAGGGACCGGACGGCCCTCAGCAGAGGACCCCGGACCCCGTACTCACGGAGGACCCCCCAAAGGACACCCCGGGGAACACGGTCGAACGCCTTCTCCAAATCCACAAAGCACATGTGGACAGGTTGGGCGAACTCCCATGAACCCTCGAGTATCCGATGGAGAGTGTAGAGCTGGTCCAGTGTTCCACGGCCGGGACGAAAACCACACTGCTCCTCCTGAATCCGAGATTCGACCATCGGCCGTAACCTCCTCTCCAGTACCTTGGAGTAAACCTTACCAGGGAGGCTGAGGAGTGTGATCCCACGATAATTGGAACACACCCTCCGGTCCCCCTTCTTGTAGAGAGGAACCACCACCCCGGTCTGCCACTCCATTGGCACCGCCCCCGATCGCCACGCGATGTTGCAGAGACGTGTCAGCCAAGACAGTCCTACAACATCCAGAGACTTTAGATAGTCAGGACGGATCTCATCCACTCCCGGCGCCTTGCCACCAAGGAGGCTGCCAACCACCTTGGTGACCTCTGCCAGGGTGACAGAAGTATCCGCCCCAACATCCTCAGCCTCTGCCTCCGGAGCGGAGGACGTGACGGGGGGATTGAGGAGAATCTCGAAGTATTCCTTCCACCGTCCGACAATATCCCCGGTCGAGGTCAGCAGCTCACCCCCCGCACCGTACACGGTGTTGGCAAAGAACTGCTTCCCCCTCCTGAGGCGCCGGACAGTTTGCCAGAATCTCTTCGAGGCCGACCGATAGTCATGCTCCATGGACTCTCCGAACTCCTCCCAGTCCCGGGTTTTTGCCTCTGCAACAGCCCGGGCCGCGGCACGCTTGGCCTGCCGGTACTGGACAGCTGCCTCAGGAGTCCCCCGAACCATCATGGCTCGATAGGACTCCTTCTTCAGCCTGACGGCATCCCTTACTGCCGGTGTCCACCACCGGGTTCGGGGGTTGCCGCCGGGACCAGCACCAGAGACCTTGCGACCACAGCTACGAGCCGCCGCATCGGCAATAGAGGAAGAGAACATGGTCCACTCAGACTCAATATCCCCCTCCTCCGCCGGGACCTGGGAGAAGCTCTCCCGGAGGTGTGAGTTGAAAGTCCGTCTGACAGGGGTCTCAGCGAGACGTTCCCAGCAAACCCTCACTACACGCTTGGGTCTGCCAGGTCTGACCGGCTTCCTCCCCTGCCAGCGGATCCAACTCACGACCAGGTGGTGATCGGTTGACAGCTCTGCCCCTCTCTTTACCCGAGTGTCCGAAACACGCGGCCGAAGGTCAGATGATACGACAACAAAGTCGATCATCCACCTCCGGCCTAGGGTGTCCTGGTGCCACGTGCACTGGTGGACACCCTTGTGCTCAAACATGGTGTTCGTGATGGACAAACCGTGACTAGGATTTAGGATTTGTCTAACATGGTACATCTATAATAAGAAGAGAAAATGATAATAAGGGGGCAGATGAAAGTACATGACATGTCGCACTATTTCTATGATCAATGCACTCTCTGGTAGACATTACAGCTTCAATGTATGTTCTATTTCTTCCTCTTGTAAATGTACCATCCACGAGCCGACCATATGCAAGATGTCTCCTATAAGCCATCATTTTAATTGTAAGCCACAATGTTGTAGCGTGTATAAAGCATTATCGCCGTAGAGCCGTCCAAAAAAACAACAACAATCCATTTCCCTCGTCCAAGCCCAGAGTCCCTGGATAATGCTGCGCTGGAGGAAGGCCAGGAAGTTTCTCCTAGAATAGTGTTTATTTTAATACATTTACCGAGGAGACGTGGCATTTGAGACCACGCAGCCTGTTAGCTGGGCAGCCGACAGCATCTCAAGGAGCCAATAGAATCGAACTTCAAACTAACTCACTACAACACCCTGGTGTTTACTTTTGCCTGTAACCAAAAGTGCTCAGCCTCATTCAAAGAGACAGGAGCTCCAAGCGAATCATGAAGTGTAAGGTTGTTTTAATCCAAGACTTATTTTACCTTAAGTGTCTCTTACAACCTAACCATTTCCAATCCACATTTAGACATACGTAATGAGCACCTAATTAGTCAATTTGTTAACGTCTCTCACAATTAAAAGTAAAGGCAGAAAACTTTTATTTTTTGCATTGAACAATACAAATGCAAAACAATAATTGATGAACCGTTTTTTGAGACAGGATTTAGTTCTAAATATAATTGTTATTTTTCACACACTAATCTATAGGCTATGAAGATAGACAAAGATATGATAGAAAATAAAACATTGCACCTTTGCAGTTTTAGAGAAAGTCTATCCAATTGTCTGATATTTTAATTAGAAAGTCAGCTCAGGACCAGAACCAGTCCAGAACCAGTGCAAGACAAAAATGTGTGAAACAAAAATGAAAAAGGTGATCCAGAACATTCCTTGTGTTTAGGTCCTCCAACTTTGGCAAAACAAAAACCAATAATTATGAGAAAACTATATGCAGCAAATTTGCATAAGACAGAAACAATATGTCAATGCTGAGAACTAATGTAGAATAAATAATCCGATGAAGGATTGCAATTTAAAGTCCTGCAGCTTGTTTGATGAATGGGAAAGTGTGACGGAAGTGGGAAAGTACAGGAAAACGTCTGCAGAACTCACATGCAAACTGAAGGAGCACGTCTCTGCTCAAAACGGTCCCAAAGCTGTTCTGAGCTCTGCACTGGTATCTCCCATTGTCGGTGCTTTCACTGGCGTTGGTGATGATGAAGTTCCCCTCTATCAAACTGTAGCGATAATCTGCTTCTGTGTAGACCTCTGAGCCATTGATGAACCAGCTAAAAAAAAAAACAAGACGTTATTATTGGGTAATTTGTGCCAAAGACAACATTGAGAATGAAATACAGCAGAAACAGATTGGCAAAACGGCTTTCTGTCGCACCTGTATGTGGGTAGTGGATTTCCTCGAGCTTCACACCGCAACATAACTTTCTTTTCATCAGAATCCAATGAAAAAATAACGTCATCTGGCTCCTGGATGAAAATGGGTCCAAATTCTTCGCTCTCTATGGGAAGATAAAACAGAATAACATCTTAGCTTGGATTATTCATATATTTTTGCAGCTGAGTGAAATATCTCTAAGAATTATTCACACACTTCACAGACCACATAAAAAGCCCAGATAAAATTCAAAGTAAAAAAGTAATTAGACTTGGCATAGTTTTTAGCACCTTTGCTTCATGAAGGCCCTGGGTTGGAATTACAAGCTGAGTGGAGTTTTTATTGTTCTCCCTTTGTCTGCGTAGGTTTCAGTGGGGGCGGGTTTTGGCTCAAAAGTGGCCAAAATAACGTGCGCTGACATGCTTGCAATACCACCCCGGGCCGATGGAGGTGGACCCAGAAGAAGAATTAGCCAATGCTAACATATAGCGTTGGCAGACCTCTCAAAAACGTCTTTACAGGATGGTCCAAAAGTTGGCTCTTGGCCCAAAGCTCCGTTCCACATGTGTGTCAATGCTGAGGGGGGTGAATTTTTTTGGTCCACTCTAGTTTACTTGCTGTGAATTTTTGAAGTCTCTCGTTCAAATGAATGGAGCTGCGCCGGCTGACGCATGCACAGATCATTTTTTCACAATTTTCTTGTGGGCGGGACCACTCGCGGCCATTTTAGATAGCTCCAGCAGAGCACTATTTTTGGCCCATTAGTTAGAACAGCGGAGATAGGCGTGACTCTGTCCGTTAATATATACAGTCTATGGTAGGTTTTCTCCAGTCGCTTCTCCAGGTTTCCCATACAATTACAACTATGTACCATAAGGCTGTATTTACAGATATGTATATTATAACAGGGGCAATCCAGGTTAACAAAAATGTCTTTAAAAGTGCTAGTTAGCTAGTGCTTTGTGTGAAGATGCCGTTAAAACACATGTACATTAGTAAACTGGGGCCAGAACCGCCATGAAAAGTGTCTGCAAGACTGACATGAATTAAATAGTATATAAAACATTATTCATATTTGCAATGAGTTTGTGAATAATGTGTCATCAATTTGTCATTACTATGGAGTAGTTTATATATGGATAGAATAGATAATATAACAATAATATAGATAATAGATTTTCAGCTATTTTTACTTTGATATTTTGAGTAGTATTGTGGAGTGAATTTTTGACATAAAATCTTCCGGTCCTGCCACCAACAAATACACCTGAATTACACGACTTTAGGTTCTCTGTCTCACAATGTTTTGACCAATAACCTTGTTGAAATCCACATTGACAGTTTGCAATAACAGGTTTGTAGAATATCAAGCCTTTTTAAGTGTATTTTCGGTGTGTGCTCTATATGTCACTCAAACTGTGAGACAATAATTGTTTAATTTCTGAAACTTGGATTTTAACGATCAGGAGTGAGAGCTGTGTGTGAGAGAGAGGCTGACGGTGGCCCACACAAACAAGAGGAGGTCAACACACTCTAACATTGTTTAAATCATGCTAATTTAAACAACATTATTATTATTTTGCAAGTTTAAAAAAAAAAACCATGAGAGAGGTAGTCGTTGGAGTTATTTTTCTTAATTGAGTAAATCCAGGATGAGTTTTGTTTGTGTTTATGAGCCGCACACTGAAGAACCCTGTTATTCTTGCTCTCATCTTGATGTAAGTATTCTATTTTAGACAAAGATATGTGCAGAAACTGTAATATAACTTCTAAAGGCAACATGAGAGCTGTGTCAAAGGGAAATCAACTGTGCAACTTGACAGCCAGGTTGGATTACATTCACAGGAGGGAAAAATCCATGTTTGGAAATGTCACTTTGAGGAGATCAACACATATATAAAACCAGTGTTCACTTGCATTTATGTCTTTTGGACCTTTGTTGTTTGCCTTGGGACTTCAAGAAAGAAGAAGACTTAAAAAGAAGAAGGTGTTATCAGACTGCGTTTGTTTACGGTTTGAGGATTTATAGTTGCAAAGTGAGCGCAGTGTTGCATAACGTGTCGTCTTTAATAAGGGACATTGCATTTTTCCTTAAAACATACACACTTGAAAAAGTTTGTTTTAAGTAGATAAGACAAGTGTGCCAAATGTATTAGCCCAGAGCTATCTGACTCAGACACTCACTTTCTGTTGGTGTCTAAGCATAAAACTAGAAGAAATAAAAATAACATTACGGTTTTAATCGCATCAGGTGAATTTTTGCTTTGCAGCTTTGGTTCTGGTCCCATTTGATTGCCACCACCAACTTGAGAAAGCTGCTGTCTTCCAATAAAGCTGACTGGATATACAATACTTCCAAAGCCCCCCACAATTCATAGCTACATATTGCAGTCATCCTGTTCTCAACCCAAAGGTTGAATTATATCCTATAGATCATACTCACGAGTCACACAGTCAAAACAACTAAAAATAGCTGACTGCACTAGTTCCAAACCGCTACATTTAATGAGCACAAAAATGTACTCCTCTGACAAGAGGCAGAAAACAATTTCAGCTCAAGGTGAAGGGAAGTGACTGGAGCTTCATAATGCTCTCTTGAGAACTCCAAACGGAACATCGAGACAGTGCAAAAGATATTTCATATACATATATCTCTCTGGATCACAGACGCTTTACATTTGCCCACTATATGATCATCAAACAAGAATCCACTGCAGAAGGAGAATGTTCTCGTCACCACTGACAGAGGTGTACTATTCTTCTTGGTAACAGATGTATGTGATGATGTTTGTACAGACAAGTGAAAAACATACAATACAAATAAATAAAACCAAAATCATGTATAAGTTTATGGTTGTTATCTAGTGTCATAGAAATGGTGTGTCTTAAGCAGGCATTCAAAGAGCTCGAGTGAATGTGCAGTTCTATTGTGTGAAGTGAAACATCCCAGAGCCGTGGTCCTAGAACAGAGAAGGCTCTGTCTCCTGTCTCCTGTCTTCAAGACAGTACTCTGGGGAGACTATGGGGCTGCCATTCGATCATTATACCCTTAACAATTATTAATGGTCTCACAAACATCAGGATGTGGCCACTGCAGATAGTGTATCCTCAGATGGTACTTTTTTTTTTTGACATAGATATCCATCATATCTAGAGCTCCTGCCCAGACAGGATCACAGTGAGAGGTGGATATGGCCATAATCCCACTTCAATTTCAAATAGGGCATGACCCTATGGTCACTGCAGACCATGCACACTGGGGAAGGATAGGTGAAACTCATTTCCAGGCCTGATAGTAACAGGCAGGAGGCCTGCACACATGACATGAGAGCAGGCACTGTGTAGTGTCAGCCGCTAGAAGCAGAAGTCATATTTGTTCTAGTTAAGCCCTGGAGCGAGGCCCATGTCAGCAGGTGAGAAAACTGCACTCTGAACTCATGTGGCACCTGCCATTCGCTCCAACTCACCCTCAGCTTCAATTCTCAACCTGGAATAAGTGACTAATAAGCGCTTGGGCACTTGTGAAGGCAGGTAACCTGTGTTCCATAAAACGGCTTTTGGCAAGTGTTACTTTCATAGTTTGAAATGGTCCAAGGCTATGTTTGAAAATTCTATGCAATATCTGGGGGGAAAAAACAGTTCCATTTTGACAGATAATCATTAATTTTAACTGAGGTTGAATTCACATATCCACCCACTTCATTTGTACTGTTTAGGTCTGAATATAGACAAGTGTGCTCTGATCCGGAGCAAACCCACCTGAAGAGCTCTGTGTCAGTGTCTCTGTATGAGATTAAAGATCTGACATATTGTCAAACACACATTGATAAACTGTCGGGAGCATATATACTCTGTACAGTTATATATATGACTGTATCCATGCTGTCATATATGAGACATTAGTACCAGTGCATTAACTCTGGAATGGCTCAGGCTCGCCTCCGTCACTTCTCTTCTCTAATTATCATACAAGTGATTCTGTTACAAGTTGCAGTGAGAGTATGATTTTGACTAAATTTAGTACAAAAGCCTGTACTTTCTTTCTTTAGTTTTGTTTTATTGGCATTACCTTCACTTCTGTAGTCTTCCTGAGAGTTAAGCAGGTTTTGGGATGGCAGAGTGTAACTAGTGAAAGGGGACCAGTCTGGAGGTCCACTGTGTCGAGGTCTGCCGCGGGAGCTGAGCAGTGACGAAGAGCTGTCGGATTTCATTCGTAGAACTGCAGCTGCGTAGGTCATCGGCCGAGCAGCAACTGATTCTGCCAAGTCTGAAAAAGAAAAAAAAAAGAATAAAAAATATAAAAAATAATATAAATAAAAAACTGAACTGCAAGCTATACAGTCACATTCATTCGGCCGGCGTCAACCTTCACTTTCTACACTTTTTCTGTGCAGAGTAAATGCAGATCTAGCACTGGGCTTTTGGGAAAGCAGAGGGGAAAGGGGAATGTCTGTTCACATGTGTATCTGCATTTAAAATGATTTATCCAATCCACTTTATTTACTGTATATAGCACATTATATAAAACAATTACGTTTCCAAAGTGTGGCACAGAGATAAAAGTAACATATTTAGATACACAGGATTGCCAGTTTCTATCAAAATTAGAATAAGTAAAATAATAAAATATCAGTTATCCAATACAAAAAAAACAATGACATAATTAAAACAGATAAAACATGGTCCATTGAAATCGCACCGTCAAAACAGTGACAAATTCTGCATTGGCATTAACCATAAAAGACCCATTTGGGGCTGTCTCCAGGAATCTCTACAAATACAATATGTGGTTGTTGTTTTGTATGTGATTTAAGGAAAGACCCCCTGTGAAGAATAGTGGCTGAAAAAGATAAGATGAAACACGACCAGATCAGATTTGTAGACTCACGGGATATGAGGAGAGGACTAATAAGAGACTGGGGAATGTTGGCTAATACATGATAGGGTAGAGCTGAAGTAAACTGAAGGATAATTATGTGGCCTCAGGGAGCAGTCAGATGCAAAAAAGTAAAATAAAATATGCTTTAGCTGCAAATAGAAAGTTGGCAATTACTGAGACGCCATACGAAAGTCTAGTATTATAAGATAAGATAAACCTTTGTTTGTCCCACAGTGGGGGAAAATTGTCATTGTTGCGCACATTACCGCAGAATAAAAGGAGAAAGGTTGCACACATCAAACAGTATATAGTATTTAAGATAATAGATAATACAATAAAAATAATGATTCAAATACAACTCTGGAGCTATAATTGTGCTTGGTTCAAGGATAAGTCACTAATGCAGGGGTCTCCAACCTGTTTCAATCGGGGAGCTACAGTACCTCTATACGGCAGAAGAGGCAGAGAGCAACTCTTTTTGTAGACATAACAAGAGAGAACACACATTGAGAACACATGTAAATATATTTTTTTTTTCCATGTGTGTTCTATAGTATACTATTATACTGCCTAACCCTATATTTATACTTATAAATAGATATGCAATGACTCAATATGTATTAATTCAAGATCATTCATATGTTAAATTCTAAATCCTTTGGGGAGCTCCCAAGCCATAGGTTGGAGACCCCTGCACTGGTGGATTATACACTGTAGTCAGCAGAATCAGGAGATATTTACAGATGTGTATGTTGTACTTTAGCTGCAGAGACTATGACCAGAATAACCAATAGTAATTATAGCAAGAGCAGTAGCAGTAGTGACTAGTGGATAATCAGAGCAGAATTGTCACATGAATGGAATATGTAATAATGTAGTATCAATAATATTGCAGGTAAAGTGACTGTGCGATTTGTAAAGTGTATGTGTGTGTGTGTGTGTGTGTGTGCGTGTGTGTGTGTGCGTGCAAGAGCGTGGTCAGTGCCCTCTCTGTGGGTGTGTTGATTGTGTGGGCATCATTTTCAGGGACCCCATCTGAATATTGACCGAAATGTTGCAAACTCTATGTGCTATAAGAATACTCATTTTTTTCCAAATTCAGCTAAATCATGAATATTTTAAGCGAGAAAATGTTAAGAACACTGCGGGCAGCATTTGTCTTAATTCAACCTTTTCCTCATTAACTGATTCTGAATACACAGCAACATTAAAGTCAAATGCAGAACAATTACACGAGTCAGTGCTGCTAAATCCAATAAAGTTCATTCAAATTAACCCCATATAAGAGGCTGTTGATTCATTCTGTTCCAACTCTCAAATGGCTTGTTTAAAAAAAAAAATAATTTACGCTTACAATTAGCTTAATGTGGTTCTATTGTATTGTACAACTGGGCCTCGGAGAGCAAAATTAAGAACAATGCATGGTCCTAACTGCATTACTTTACAATCGAAGGATAATTTATTTTGTGTTGTCGTTAAAATATAATAACAGTTGGTAAAATAAAGGCAATTAAATACCTTTTGCTGAATCTTTCATGTCCATTTAGATTTTTAACTGCAAAAATAACATGTATAAAACGAGCCATTCACTGCTGTGTCTTGGATCTGGAGAAAAGTTACCCTAAAATATGGTGTGACAAGTCCAACACCAAGAGAAAACTTTTTGTTTTTCCTCAAATGAAACTCATGGACAAATGGAGTGACAAATGGATCAAGGTTCACAAATCAATCTTTCTTAGATGGAACCAGTGAAAAGTGGCAGCTCGATTACACAGCTCTAAACAATATTGAGGTTGTGGCTTCCTCAGCTACATAACAAAGCAAAGACAGAAATCAACGATTAGGAAAAAAAACAGTAGCAAATTAGGTTATTAGGTTCTTCTATACCAGTCAATAGTAACATGTCAAGGTAAAAACATTGCTAACTTACTATTGTCTGGTATAGAAGAACCTAGTAACCGTATACTCCAAGAAGACAAGATGAACCTTCCCAAACTAAGTAGGACATGATTGGTATTATAAATATATTGGTGCCCGATCCGTTTCCGAAATTGGGATTGGAAGCCAAAAAACCTGCATCTTCAGTTGAATGTTTTAAAGAGTTAGGAGTATCTACGTTACAAAAAAAATAAAAAATAAAAATACATCTATTTCTACTTAAGTGTTAGTTTAAGGCAATGATATGTACACGATTACATCTTTAAGATTGGCTCTGTAATAATTCAGCATAATCCTCACCTGAGATTGACTCCATTTGTGACCTCAATAATGGATTTAAGCAAATAAAGAAAAATGCGTGATTACATCTATATTAGAATGCAACATTTCACATAATATTCATTGAGAAATATAGAGGGGATTAAGCTCCGAAACACAGACGACAGAACCCGACTGAATATCATTACCTTCGCTGATATCAGGGCGCCAGGTTTGGAGGAGCACGGCCACAGCTGGGAGGGAGTGGTGTGAAGAATTAATTTGAATAACACACTGTAAGTTGGCGCGGCGCTCGTGGGGCTCAAGTAGACGGACATGATTAGCCGTAGCCTGTAAGATTAATGAAGACCTTCACGGGGAGATTATATTGACTGAAGCTGATTATGCTTGAGACCATTTATTCAGCAGAATATCATTACAGATAGAACAATCCATAGATCATATGCGGCCTCAGCTCACTCTCCATTACAGCAGACAGCTCACTAAAACCCGGACTATTTCCTGATCCGGTGTTCTGCATCCACCTTGACAAAAGTAAGTCATCGGGAAGACACAGTGATTCTCTATGATGTATGGTATTAATGTTGTCATGGTTTTAATTGAGTGTGTGCATTTGTATGAATTATGTTGTCAGTGTAAATCCAGAGAAATTACGAGAGAGCGGACAAAGCAAAGATTGATTCATATGCCTTGACCGGAATATGCCTTGCACCTATCCTCACACAACCTCTATTCTAGTCTATATTCAGAGAGGTAACAAGGAAAGTGGCGATGGCTCTGTACTTACAAAGGGAAAAGCACATTCTAAGAAGTCAGCTCAATTGCACAAACAAGTCCTGGGCCATAAACAGCTATGCCCTGTCAGTGGTCAAACCCCCGCAGGAATAATAAGTTGCCCCAAGAAAGAGATAAAGAATTTTCACATCTGCCTGCAGGTCCAGCTCGGCACGGTTCAGTGAGGCTCGAGTCATTCACATAATACCAGGCTTGGCTCGTTCTTTTTTCGGGAGGGATAACGGTGGCTGAAAAACACCCTCCTCGTAGAACCGGGTGTTTTGACGAGGCACCAGTCGTGTAATTACAACTATAAAAGATATAGGGCTATCAAATAGTGCTCACCTGGGATTTTGTTCGAATACCACAGCTTTAAAATCATCTATGAAGGTAAAATAAACTGCGAGAGAAACACTATGTATCCAGAAAACAACCATACCTCTGCACAGGAAAACTGAATGAAGAAAACTAATGTGAGTCCTTGAAGTCCAAGTGATCAGTGTGTTGTTCATATCCAGTGTCTGTTCTATATCATTTCCATCGTCAGTCCTCCTCAAACATGTGAAAAATGTTAAAAGGCCTGACCTGCAGATCAAGCTACGTCCTTACTTACAAACAAGTTGTTGATATCGTGATCAGCCACACTTAATTAGCAAATGCGTTTTGTAAGTAAGTAAGAAAGTTCCGATATTTTTCCATTCTCTGCCCACGCGATGATGACGTAAGGGAGACGCCAAACACACTGACGCATTGAAGCCCCCAACCAACAATATCCATTCACTCACTCATTACTTTCATACCTATTGGACATGTTTTTAGTGGTAGGGGAACCCGGAGCACCCATGAAAACTCCACACAGAAAGGCCTGGAGGTGGAATCCAAGTCAGGAATGTCTTGGTAGCTATGTTGTCGGCCCTGTGATACCACAAAATGACCATAGGTGAATGGGATATGTCTCGATGACCCATGTGCAATGCCAGAAGTTGCGTGCATAAATGACGAGACAGAATTTGTCAACATCTGCAATATATCTCTAACGGTTCTGCACCCCTTTCTCTGTCGCTTTTAACCAACAGAGGAGGGGTGATACAGCCTTGCAGATTGTTCAATGGCAAGTTTTCTGGAGCAGACTCTCTCTCCTCACTATGACATCTGACATCTCTCACTGCAGCAGGTTCCTGGATCCTGCCATGCGGTGCAATCCTGCTCTGCCCCAGAAACGCCGCCAGCCACCAGCCCTGAAAATTGCCCAACCGTTGGTGAATCTCCTGCTTTATTGTGTGCATGTTTAAGAGGGCTATATACCAGTCACCACCTTTTGTGATGCTCAATATTTTGTCATTGGCTGGTTCAAACTTCCATCTACTTGACTGGGGATCACAGGAGAACGAAATAAACTAGAAACAAAATGATTTTAATTATGAAAGTTGTCAGTCCAGTCTTTGAGAATGTAGTTTCAGATTTCACTTAGTTATTGTACACAATATGGGTCTTAAAAATCTGTGAAAATCAACAAAAATGGCATGAGTTAATAGTAGATTTGAATAACTATTTAACTTCAAAGGGTCGATCAGGGAGGTACTGGGCGACTGCTGCCATAGGGAAACTATTGGACCTTGACTAGTACTTACAACATTGCACTCAAAGCATTGGAGAACAATAAAAAGCCAGATTAAAATAGGAATCACATTAATTTTCTTAAGCCAATTTGTGGCCATAGAAAAAGTGTGACTTCAGCTTCTACCCGTTGTACGATAACGTTCTTGTATCTACAAACAAAATCCCATGATGCTGATTAAACTGATGATCACAGAGAACACCAAAGATGCACGACTGCCAAGACCTAAAAATGTGGCCAGTTTTCTCACTGTTTGCTTCACTCTGTAACAATAGAACGAGCTGTCTAAACTTTTAATTCTTCTGCCAAGTACTGCAAGTTCACAAGTCCCTGACGGCTAGATTCACAATGCAAAATGCAATTCTATATTTTCTTATTTCTTGAACATTCTCACTATACAAAATGTAGGCGATTCTCATTAATGCTTGGGCTTTTCGATGAATAGCATTGACTATTCATGTGGAGAGACACCATGCTCCTATGCAAATGCAGAGGGCATGCATCAACCTCAGTCCCATGAGAATTTTGGGAAACTCTAAATGTTTGCCTTGCTTTGTCGTCGTTTAGATGCTGTAGTTTTGTTTCTTGAATACAAATAACTCAAGACTGCATCAGGAGAATGTTTAAGATTGTTCACTTTGACGGCCATGTTCTAAATGACTTTATAAAGCAGTAGCACGGTATAACAGTATGATATAGTGTTTCTTTAAAGTATGTTGTGTGTATGTGTGTGTGTGTGTGTCAGTAAGATTCTGACATACCAATTCTATCATACCACCAGCAAGATTTGTGGAGGAGACAAACTAAGCCAATGGGGAAAGACCTTGCCTATCAATCAAGGATTTTAAATACTACAATTCATTCACTTACTGTTTTATTGTACAGTGGAAAAGTCGACTTCTCTGACGTCCATGGAATAAATGAAATCATAATATTGCGATAGGAAGCATGGGGCTGAAGAAACTTTTAAGAAGGTGCATTGTATTGACTTTGTTACAGGGAGAATATTTAAAACAGAAAAATCCATTGCTGCCTTTTTCGTTGGTGCAATATTGGCAGAAATAAAAGGCACTTGAAAGCAGAGACAGGTGGGGAGAAACGTGCAACAATACAAAGGACCCTGCTCTCAAAGAGAAAAATGTCAGAATATTCAGAGAATAGTGGGTCAATAACCCATTATACAGCCGTCATGTCATAATAGACAAAGACTGCATCACACTTCAGATTGAGCTTCTCATTTCTCGGGCTGCTCATAATATTGAAACGCTGTTGAGGCTTTCGCTTTCTAAAACTAGACACATTTGAGAGAGTTGTAAAGGGTAAAAGCATGTTCGGCTCGACACACTCAAAGTGGGACTTTTATGGCTTCACTCTGCCACTGGCATCATTGGGGAAGATGAACCACTCTAAACGCGTACAGTACTCCGGCATCAGGTTCATCGGCTGCCATTACCTTCCCTTTCATGCCTAATAATAGAGTGTGTACAGTTGTTGGAAATGTAACCATTAATTTAAAGAAACAAAACAAAAACACTGAACTCCAATGCCTGCTTTCAGGAGGTTACTTAGCTTTGTGAACTCAATATTCAACAACATTTATGGACGTACGGGGATTATTCAAAACAATGGAAGGTGGCTCAAGGGGCGTTTCTTGTGTTTGAAATGTTTGATTCTCTGATCTACGTTGGCAAATTCAACTTTTGTTAAGTCCTCTGAGATAACTACTGTTGTGATTTAGAAGAAATTGAAGTTAAAATTGTATTTGACAATCAAACATATATGTATGTACGGAAACATTCACACTGCAAGCAAAAGAGACTGACTCAAATGTGACCCAGGTTGTTAGATGTGCATAGTTGCCATTTCATAGTATGACTTTCTCACTTAAAAACACAGCATTCACAGACAATTAATATTGTTGATGTGATAGCAAAACAATAACCTTAAAGAGATAGCAAAGTAGCAAGTGGCCTCTTCTAAACAAATCAATAATGTCTATTTCAGGGCAGACTCTCATGTATTATAGCAGTTTGATAAAAGCGTCAAACCAGCCACGGCCCTCACCAGCTTCTTGTCTAGAGAATTGTCATACCCTGTGTGCTTCTGTTCCTGTTAAATTTGTAAGCCAACAAAAGACGATGTTTCCTTGATGTGTTATCAATCACAAGAGGTGGCACTTTTTCTAGAAAAAAAGTAGGCCATTCGTCTTCAAAACTGTTGTCTAAAGCCTGCAAACAGGTCACTGGAGAATGGAGAGGCACGGGTTAGGAGCCACTGGTGAAAACAGCCCCACGCTCCAAGAGTTTGTGAGTGAAAATGCTGATCCACTGGTTTTGTGGTTTTGTGGTTCTGGTGGCAGTCCAATTGTGTGCTTTCCCAAGTGAAGAAAAAAGTTGGACTACTACACTAAACTGCTAAGGAAGTTTAGGCAGGTACAAAACTTGCCACATACATACAGGACACGACATCTGGAAAACCCATTTGGACAAATCTGACTTCAAATATGATTCAGTGTTTCAGTCTATTATCTCTGTGTATTCTGTGGGCATTCAAGTCTCCTCATGTGGAATATCATGCTGTTTAGACGCATACAGTAGTGACCGAAGGGTGAATTCCTGAACATAAGACAAGCAATTTTTTGGAAACTTGGAGAGCCACAGACTTTACACGTTTAGCATGTCTTCCCTTTGAATATGACATCATAAATCTCCCTTTGCACATGTGAGTAACTTTCACAGTCACATTACTTTCACGCTACAGCAAAAAGGTGTTACGATTATTGTGTACTGTGAACATTGAGTGACGTAAAAATATCTGATTTGAGCAAAAAAATCTGATTTGGGAACACAACCTGGCAGTGTCAAAGTAGCATAAGTGTCAAACCCTTTTACAGTTCGTACCTGTAAGGCCACTGACGATCGAGAAGAACAGAAATGGTTTCCATGGTGACCCCATACTTGTTGAAGAGGGTCCCTTCTGCAGTGTTAGCAGGTCTGCCTCTTCATTAAAGCTGCTCTGGACAGAAGCGAGAAGTGCCACCAGGGTCAAACGCAGTGTTCATCTGGCTCACAGTCACATCTGTGTTTTCACATATGAATAAAACAACAACGGCAGAAGTGTGAAAAGGAAAACAGCTCGATACATTACTCGACCACCTCAAGTACCAAATGTATCTGTTTCCTGTTGATGCATTATTCTCTTGTTATTCCCTAATTCATACTTATATTTTACACTTAATTCTTGCATCTTCATTATGCTAGTGAGGACAATTATGCAAGTTGGAGATTTCTTTCCTATAATGCTAAAGCAAGAAATTGTGTACTGCTTTTTTTATGCCAAAGTTAGATTTTGTAATTTTTTTTAGAGTTATTGTTCATTTATCTTGTTCTCCTCATCCCTATTGTTCTGTAACTGGTGATGCAACACTGAAATTTCCCCACTGTGGGACGAACAAAGGATCTCTCAAGTTAATCTTATTTGAAAACCTGTATTAGTGTAAATATATGTGAAATTGTGTTCTGCAGGCATGACATAAATCAAACTAACTACAAGTTCAGAAAAGCAGATATATCCCACTTTGAAAATTAAAATCTGCAAACTGTTATAGTTGCAGCTCTGGCGTTTATCGAATGCCGGGAAATAAAGATTACTAAACAAGAATGAACACAAAACAAGTTTGCTTTCATATATGGCATAGTGGGTTTGTTAGCGCAACACACATTTACAAAGAATTCTCAGATACATTTTCCCTCTCACCATTAAACAGTAAACACAGCAGAGAGTTTTCCAAAGTTCATTGAGGCCTGGTCCAATGGCTGCCCTCAGAACACTGACCTCAATTACACCAAGCGTCTGTGCGGGCGGCGGCTCATTCTGAAGCTACAACAGTTAAACCTCCAATTAGCACAAGTCGCGGTGCTCAGGGCCTGATTGTGCTTTGGCTTCTTTTGTCCCTTTTTATAGGGGTGATTGCTCCACTTCAGGAGAATAATTAGCTTCAGTCCTCGTTTTTATTCTAATTGACTAGATTGTGTTGTAGATAGTGAGTTGTAATGATTGGATGACATGGGGGATAAGACTTCATCAACAGACAAGAGCCCAGCAGCGAGTCAACAGCTACAAATACAGCTAGTAGAAAGAGGATTGTTGTTCGGACTCCACTTCAGTATGGTTTGTGCAGACGTATTCAGCTTGGAGCTCAGGGCTAAATCAGGACATTGCATAGAGTTTTGAGGCTTAATTTTTGTCATTTTAGATTCGTTTTTTATGTCAGTTATGGCTTTATTTAATAGGTTATACTCTATTCTAGATTTAATTAGGCATTATTCCATTATTATTTTTTAGTATGGTTAATATTCATTTATATTCTGCTGTGTGCTCCTTATTCCTACTGTTCTGTACTTGGGATGCAACACTGAAATTTCCCCACTGTGGGATGAATAAAGGATCTCTTAATCTTAATACAATTGTTACTATTCCAGTAGTACAATACAAGTTCAGCACTAGCTTGGATGTTGGTTTAGACTTTTACATATATTTGAACATATATCAAACCATGACTAGAACTATAACAAAATACACCTGAGTTGTTTAATGTTTTAATTGTATCTATTAATTTGGGTCCCCATGAGCTTTCACAAGTGGTCACCAGTCACCCTGGTTTTCCCAGTTTTTTATTTTCTAGTATTTTTGGCCTTGGACCCCATTTTAGCTCTTAGCTCAGCCTTCTTTCGAGAGAAAAGAGCAAAGGAGAAGAGCTCTCTCTCTCAGCCCATCAGCGTCAGAGAGTGACTTGCAGGACTCTTTCTTAAGTAAAAGATAATAAGATACAGACATGTTGTGGTCTGATTCGTTCACAAATGAAAATGTCAATTTGAATTGCCGCAATCTATTTAGTCTAATTAAATAACCATCCTGATTTTGATACTAGGAAAAAAAAAACTTTAATACCCCTGTGATTATTATTATTTTTTGCCATTAGAGTGAATAATAATGTTTATGGTTCCATACAAGTCCTTCTAATGTAATATTTGTATATGTGTGTTTGTCAAAATGTCAAATCTACTCTCTAATCTAATTTATCTATGAACATAAAACAATTATCAAAGCAATGTCATGTCACTGGCATCACTAATTCCAAGATGTTTGACATTCATTAAAAATTAAATGTCAAATGTTGTCCTGGTTTGGAATCTTATTTTGTATCAATTAAATGCGAGGATTTTCTTCTTTCGGGTGGATCATCCAGATTATTGGTCAATCATTCTGGTGATACAGGAGACACATTTCAATACCTTTAAATGAGTGTGTGATTTCAATTCTAGTTTGTATAGTGATTATTAATAGGACAACTAAAAGCATCAAAGGAAAACATTGTTATAAAGATATTCCACTAATTTAGTTTGTGCATTTCCAAAGTAGCCAATGCACTCGTTTGTCAGCGATCACAGTAAGTGTAAGAGGCGTGTGGAGATGGAACAGGATTTATGGCTGGTGTGGGCTGCTCACCTCATTTACTCGGTGTCCTCCGTGGACCACCAGCAGCAGGGCTAGTGGCTCAGACAATTAGTGGTGTGCTTCTGTTGTTTCTACAGAGAGAAGAAGAACAAAAACACAGTGTCATAAAGGCAGACAATAGCAATGCAATAAATAAACACAGGCGTCTGCCACTCCTCTGCTTTTATTGTTAACGGAACCTGCTGTCTGCCCCCTTTGTTTGCCTCGTTGTGTAGCTCTGTTTTGTCAACTATGGATTTCGGAAACGCAACAAAAGTAGGGATGTTCTCTTTGTGGTGCTTACTTTACGTACTGCTGACAGGAGAGGATTTTATATCCGGCTTGATTTGGCAAGTATTAAAAAAAAGGATCTCGAACATATCAACCGCTGGAGAATAGTGCCTGATTATGCATCTTAGACTCTGGGAAGCACAGTCTCCTGCTGGGACTCTGAGTAGCACAGGGACTGGTCTCCTGCTGGGACTCTGAGTAGCACAGGGACTGGTCTCCTGCTGGGACTATGAGTAGCACAGGGACTGGTCTCCTGCTGGGACTATGAGTAGCACAGGGACTGGTCTCCTGCTGGGACTATGAGTAGCACAGGGACTGGTCTCCTGCTGGGACTCTGAGGAGCACAGGGACTGGTCTCCTGCTGGGACTCTGAGTAGCACAGGGACTGGTCTCCTGCTGGGACTATGAGTAGCACAGGGACTGGTCTCCTGCTGGGACTCTGAGTAGCACAGGGACTGGTCTTCTGCTGGGACTATGAGTAGCACAGGGACTGGTCTCCTGCTGGGACTCTGAGGAGCACAGGGACTGGTCTCCTGCTGCTGTAAACCCTAACTTCAATCGTACTTCAGATATCAAAGTTATTTTAAATAGATTTTTCCCAGTAAGTAAATATTACTCATTTATTGTTAGTTTATTTAAAGCTTGCCTATGTCACTCAGGGTTTTCTTTGAATTGAACTGTTTCTGTTCAAGTAAGCCTCACTTTTGACATTTTGATGTGTAGACTCTTTAATGAGGCAGGTGTGACAATGGCAGGGTGGCCTGGTGGCTGAGTGGGTAGCACCATTAACTCTCAACTACAGGGTTCTCAGTACGAATCCCGGTCGGAACATAAGAAGAAATTTAAACTTTATTGCAATCACTTGAGTTACTTGGTAATATCAAGTAAAGGATGTACTCGAATAATTCAAGTGAAGTTAATACGCAATTTATTTCCATGGTTTTTTCAAGTAAACTTTACTTGTCAGGGTTTACAGGGACTGGTCTTCTGCTGAGACTCTTAGGAGCACAGGGACTGGTCTCCTGCTGGGACTCTGAGGAGCACAGGGACTGGTCTCCTGCTGGGACTCTGAGGAGCACAGGGACTGGTCTCCTTGTGGGACTTTGAGGAGCACAGGGACTGGTCTCTTTCTGGGACTCTGAGGAGCACAGGGATTCGTCTCCTGTTGGAACTCTGAGGAGTACAGGGACTGGTCTCATGCTGGGACTCTGATGAGCACAGGGACTGACTGGTATCCTGCTGGGACTCTCTGGAGCACAGGGACTGGTCTCATGCTGAAAAGAATGGAATATCTTTTGACAAATTAAGGATAATTCTTCTACCAGCAATGTATTGGGATTATTTATGTTTTTACTTGTGTATGGATTGTGCTATACAAACAAACTTGCCACAACTTTTAAACAGACATAATTTAGACTGTGCTACCATGATTTAAACCTTTTTTTTTTTTTTTTAAGTATAAATTGTGCACATACACTGTAGACACCAGACAGATGTAGCAAAGCCCTGCAGATAAATACATGACTTTTTTGGTTTCCATTTTTTTCCATTTCCAGTGTTGAACAGTGTTGTTGTCTCTTCTAATCAAGAACCAGTTCTGACAGTCTGTTTGAATATAAATCATTATTTGAAGTCTCACTGGCACAGAGCACATTGTGAATATGTTTATGCAATGTGCTCTGAGGAAATAAGGTTCCATTCATGTGTCTGTGATGACAACGTGTGTGTGTGTGAGACATGGCAACTGTCTGTCTGTCATCCTGAGACACACCGGTCGCTTGTGCGAATAAAATAAAATAAAACTGCACTCCACATTCTCTCCACTGGAACCTCTTTCTGAGCAGAGCCAGACATGAGGACTCAGACTCACTCTCCGCCAATCAAACTTACAAAAGAATAAAGCAGAACCAAGTCTCAAAAAATAGTACCATTAGACTAATGCACACGGCCAATTTGGTCCTGAAGGCTGCAGCGGCACTGGCCAGAGTTAAACCTGAACGCTCCTGGACTTCCACTCTTTCAAAAGGTCGACATCGAACAGGGATAAGGTTTTGTACACGTCATGCACTTTGAGAATCTTAAACTAACACAAGATTAGTTTAATACACTTGACTATGTGAAATGAATAACGTTCAATTTTTTTTTAAAGACAAAAGAAGCAATTCCAAATTTGCAATCTCAGAGTCTGCTTCTAATAGGTAACAGTGATGAATCCATCTGTACTTGTGTGTGGGTTACTCACGCTGATAACTTCAACTAAAGGAAATCATTTTAGATATTTACACTGAATCATTAATGCTCCTGATGACCATTTACACGATTCCATGTGTCTTGTTGAGATGCAACAACGGCAAACGGTGATGCATTTATGTCCTCAGGTGAGAGAACAATTGTGTGGCAGCCCTGCTTCCATCAGTCTGTCTCAGGGCAGACTCCACCATATGCAGAGTGAATGAATTATAAACCAACATTGTAAAGAGTCTTTATGGCCGCTTATTTTTTTTGTCTGCATTTATTGAGGACACAGATTCATAGAGCTTATTTTCATGCCCTCATTAAGTCTGTGGTCAGAACAGTGCAGCTTGGCTGTTATTAAAAAACACATTACTCAACTTATTAACTATTTAATCCATGATTATATCACCTCATATAGAAACATCCATATATGTGTTGTTTATTGATTCAACAATATTTTATTCCGTTGAAATACTCAATTACACCATATTCAGCAAACATGTTCCACCCAATGCTCCATAGTCCTCTCCCTGAGTTCATTGTCTGCATATCCAACATAAGTCTGACTCTTGAATATTTATTTAAAGTTTGTAGATTTACAGCATGTTATACAAGTGAAAATGAGAATAATGTTCAAAAGTCCATTCACTTCTGTTTTCAAATTACAAGGTCTATTTCAAACTCATTGCCTTTGGCAAAATGTGAGCTTTGCATTAAAAGTTTTTCTACAGAAGTAAATGAGTTTCACCTAGAAGTTGTCCATTGTGTATACAACTTGCCCTGAGCTCAAACAATTTACATGAGGAGTACATATAACAAGATTATTAAATTATTTATTTTCCAAAAGTCTTTGATTACAATCTCAATAACTTAAAACCATGTAAATCTCTTATTTTGTTGTCATTTGGTTTTTAAGAAAAACATAAAAATAAGGAGCCAAACACAAGTGCTATGGATTATATACATCCTTCCCTCAAGAGACAGCCCAACTGAAAGGACAACTGAAACAAATCTGTTCAAAGATCTGTCCCCGAAGGAACATCCTCGGGTGGGAAAGAAGAGTGTGGTTGTGTTCAAACTCCCTGCTCTCCAGACTTCCTCTCCTTGGTAAAAGTCCAGGGAGGGGAGCATCTTTATAAAGATCTAATGAAATGCTCTCAGCTCAGAAGCAGACAGGAGCCAAATCCTGTACCACACCACACACTGTCCTGGGTCTCTCCAAGCTCAATTATCTCGTCCATGTTTTGTTCTTCTAGTTTTCCACCGTTGGCCTCACTGTCCCACGCCTCTTGCTGCCACTTTTCACCCCTCAGTGCTTTTAATTGTCCTGATGACCTCAATCAAAAGACAATTACCAAAGGGAAAAGCAGCGCAGGCAATTATTGTCTTGAACAGGAGCCGCGCACACCTGAATGGGTCCAGCACCTTTCATCGAGATACAATTACACGAACAAGCGTCGCGTCTGTGCAATGAAGATGTGAAGAGCGGGCCTGAAATACAACATGATAGTGTATTCTCTGGGCAGACCCACTGAATGAGTATGCAGCAATGACACTTCAAATCCCAAATGAGAAAAGCACTTGAAACCGTGCACGGAAAGGCAAGGTCCTGCACAAGAATTCAGGCCAGCATGGATAAGGGAAAAAAGTTAAGTCCAACCACTTTAAGGCCTCTCATATATTTCAGATTCAGTCCATTTGCCATTTGCAGTAAAATGACATTGGAAAGCATGTGCAAAAGGTATCTCAGTGTTCTCCAGACTAGTACGTAAATAAAACAAGCTAAAACAGCACAAGAAAGAATTGTCACGGTGAAAATAATTAACAAAAACAGTACAAAGTTATTTAAGTGATTTATTTAAACTGAAAACAGCTTGTGGAATGAAGATTTTTGCATTTTGAGAGGTCTTGCGATGTCAGAAAATGATATCATCAGCCAGAGGGAAGAAGATTAAGATTAAGATTGAGATATCCTTTGTTCGTCCCAGAGTGGGGAAATTTCTGTGTTGCATCGCCAGTTACGACAGTAGCTCAGTTGGTAGAGCATTGGCCTTAAGGCCAGAAGGTCGTGGGTTCAATTCCCACCTCTGCACCTTCTCCACCGACTCCCACTGATGACTGCTGTCGTTGTGTCCTTGGGCAAGACACTTAACCCCACTTTGCCCAAAGCTCCCACTGAAAGATCAAGGCTATGCTCTCACCGTCCTCCTGTGGACTCACCACCTGCAGAGGGTCAGTGAGGGGCTGGTGCTATGAGACTTGGGTGGCATCTCTGATTGCCACCCCCCTGATCCAGAAATGGATTAAAGGGTAGAAAATGGATGGATGGATGGCATCGCCAGTTACAGAACAGTATGAGTATAGCACACAAGATAAATTAACAATAACGCTATACTGAATTAAATAAAATCTCTAACTGTAGCATCAAAAGCAAACAAGTATTAAAGTTCTATCTTTAGCATAATGAGTGCAAACAACTCTGAATTTAGCGTAATAAATGACGATACAATCTCTATCTCTGGCATAATAAGTTTAAAGTACATAATTGTATGTTTTCATAATAATGCACTGGTTTTATATAGCGCTTTTTTGGACACTCAAAGACGCTTCACATGTGTCATTATTCATTCACTCCAAACACGGTGGTGATAAACTACTACTGTAGCCACAGCTGCCCTGGGACACACTGACAGAAGCGAGGCAACCAGTATGTGCCATTGGCCCCTCCGACCACCACCAACCATTCACACACACACCAGACTCATTCTAGGCAATGGGGGTGAAGTGTCTTGCCTAAGGACACAACGACAGTTTGGCACTTTACAGCCGCAGCCGCCCCACTGTGGCTGGTGTT